GAAGTTCTTAATTTTAATGTCCATTTGATCAATTTTTTAAAGATTAGCTGTTTTTTCTCATCTTAAAAATCTTTGACTATTCAAGGTAATGAAGATATTTTTCTCTATAACTGGTATTGTTCTACCTTTCTCATTTAGATCCACAGTCTTTTTACAACTTATTTTTTTTTAAATAAATAAATTTATTTATTTTTGGCTGCGTTGGGTTTTCACTGCTGTGTGCAGGCTTTCTCTAGTTGCAACCAGAAAGGGCTACTCTTCGTTGCGGTGCGTGGGCTTCTCATTGTGGTGGCTTCTCTTGCTGTAGAGCATGGGCTCTAGCTGTGCGGGCTTCAGTAGTTGTGGCTCACAGGTTCCAGAGCACAGGCTCAGTAGTTGTGATGCACGGGCTCAGCTGCTCCGCAGCATGTGGGATCTTCCCGGACCAGGGCTCAAATCCGTGTCCCCTGCATTGGCAGGCGGATTCTTAACCACTGCGCCACCAGGGAAGTCCACAACTTATCTTTATATATGGTTTGATGTAGAGATCAATATACATTTTTCTGTCCAGGTGGAAATCCAGATGACCCAGCACCATTTATTAAAAAGGCCACCCTTGGCTTCCCTGGTGGCGCAGTGGTTGAGAGTCCTCCTGCCGATGCAGGGGACACAGGTTCGTGCCCCGGTCCGGGAAGATCCCACATGCCGCGGAGCGGCTAGGCCCGTGAGCCATGGCCGCTGAGCCTGTGCGTCTGGAGCCTGTGCTCCGCAATGGGAGAGGCCACCCACAAAAAAAAAAAAAAAGGCCACCCTTTTCTCACTTCACTTCAGTGAGACCTTTTGTCATAAATCAGGTAACTGATTATAAAATAAGGTGGACTGCTTCCATACTCTCTATTCTGTTCCACTGATCAGTTTCTCCTTTGTCAGTATCATACCATCTTAACTACTATAGCTTTATAATAAATCTTAATTTCTTTCAGTGTAAATTCTCCAGCCTTGCTTCAAGTCTGCCTTGGCTTTTATTAAGCCTTTGTATTTTCATTTGAATTTTAAAATCAGTTTGTCAATTCACATACACATATCCACAAACCTGTTGGTATTCTGGTTGCAATTGCATTGAGTCCATAGATTTTGTGTTCTTGTGGTCTTTATGCAGAGGTTTTATGCAGTCGTTTGTTCTGAAAACGACTCATTCCTTAATGGAATTTGCCATCTGCCGAAGAATCCTGTGAGGAAGGGCAGAAATGCACTGAGGACAGCCCAGCTTCCTATTTATTGTCTCAAACACTGCCTCACTGATTCTATTTCTTTGGTCTGGGGAACACACCTCTTTAATTTGGGCTTTCCAGAAGTTGGGAAGGCTCATGTTAACCAAAGCCCTTGAAGCTACAGGTTGTGTGTTAGGATCCGGTCATCGATGCCAAACTTCCTGCCATCACTTCTTGTTACCCAGGGCATTCTCTTTGGCACAGACGACTAAGTAATAGGAGTCAGTGCAGATATATGTCAGCATAGCTTTCCCATCAATTCCTCTTCTGCTGCTGCTCTGTTGTCAAACTGGATTTTTGAGGGACATCCTTCCTTCCTTCTGTGTGCTGTCCACATCCTAAGGCCTCTTGCTCTGATTAAAAGATCACTGGCTCTGCCTTTGCTTACTCAAAAAAACCCTGCATGCATGTATATATGTTTAATCCTCAACTTGTTCCAAAATGTTTTTAATGGAGTGTCCAAAAAATATAACATTAAAGAAAAAAAATGAGGGCTAATGGGAATATAAAAATAAGATGACGTATGGTGAAGGCCCAAAATGTATACGGTGAAAAGTATAAACATTTATTAGACACGGGCCACAGATTTGGTCAAGAGCTTTCTAGCAACTAATACAAAACAGAAACAGGATCTTTTATGTGAATCTATAACCACAGCTGAAAAAGAAACCACTTAGAAGCTCTTCTAAGAACCTTAGCTGTGAGAGAAGGAAAAGAGAAAATAGAATATTAAGAAAGGGTTTTTCAATTAGAGGCCTGTACAGTGTTTTTAGATGAAAGTGAAAATGAGTGAGAAGAGTGAAAATAAGGAATATTGTGCTATCAACAAAGGAAGCAGTACTGAAAAAGGTTGAGTGTACACTTTTTTCTTAATTATACTAATTTTAAAAGTGTGACATTAATCATCTTTTTAAAAAATCCAGTATTGATTTACTTTGTAAAGTGAAAGACCTTTTGACAATCTGTCTGCTTTAATATAGCTGTTTTATTATTTTGGATTAGAAAAAGGTATGACTTAAATGAAGTTTAACAGTATTAAGTCATATTTATTTTTATCTCTTTATATATAGCTTTTCTCACATATATTTAGCAAATAGCAACAGGTATCCAGGTTTAAAAATAAAAGTACCTGTATTAAAGTAACTGGTGCATAAAAAATACTGATTTACTTGGTTGATGGTTGTGTAGTCTGTACAGTCTGGCGTTTGGTAGACTCAAGTTCTATCCTAAGGGATTATTTATTTAAACTCAGCAACCTGCTTTGTGTGCCCCCTCTCCCCATTCTATAATGTTCTTATTTGGCTCTTTTTTTTTAAGTTTATATTTAATTTTTAAAAATTACATATATTTAATGTATACAACATGCTGTTTTGATATACATATATAGTAAAATGAATACTAGTCATTAATTTACATTAACCTTTTTGTGTGTGTGTGGTGAAAACACCTGAGATCCACTCTTTTAGCAAATTTTTCAGTATATAATGATTAAAATGACTTCATGTGCTATTAATTTGTCTAAAAGTTTAAGGCATTTCCACACGACCCCAACTTTTTGTCCTTAGTACAGCAGTCAAGGATGACTTTAAGTGCTACTGGATCTATGGAGTATGTGTCGGAATTACATAATACACATTATTTTGGGAACATGATAACGTGTATCAGTGAACAGATAAAGGCAGTGACTCAGTGATGTAAATATGCCACTGGGTTCCCACCAGTCCAAGGGCAGGCCACCAGTGTACCAAAATCAGGGGCAGGTTAAGTGGGATTAAAATGACAAATGGCCCACTTACTCTTCCTTCTTCCTGGTCAATCCAGACCAGGTTAAAAATAACCTGTATCCAGACAATTTGGTGCAGAGATTATGCCCAAGGCGCTGCTGTGCACTGTCTCAAGTAAGACATTAATTTTGATCTAGACAAACTTTCTTTTTGTTCATTATAGTGTCCACCAGCCATTTCTTCCTTCTATCAATTTAAAAATATAGCTGCTATTATGAACTCATTATTTTAACAAATATTACAACTTGTTTTTCTACTACTTATATCTGCTGTGTACAATACCATTTTTCTTGTCATGGAAGCTGTTATAAAAAGATGACTTAGGGCTTCCCTGGTGGCGCAGTGGTTGAGAGTCCGCCTGCCAATGCAGGGGATGCGGGTTTGTGCCCCGGTCCGGGAAGATCCCACATGCCGCGGAGCGGCTGGGCCCGTGAGCCATGGCCGCTGAGCCTGCGCATCCGGAAACTGTGCTCCGCAACGGGAGAGGCCACAACAGTGAGAGGCCCGCGTACCGCAAAAAAAAAAAAAAAAAGATGACTTAAATGGAGGTTTGTATTATGTATACAGTAACACATAATTCTAGTCTACTTCTTGCTAATATTTCAATCTTCTGGAATGACAGAGCTGTATTTGGTCTTGGGTTTGCAATTCTATTTTTACCTGGAAATTACCTCAAAACTTTATATAACAGTAATACTGATATATAATAATTAAATAAAGTATATTTTGTAGCAACTTATAGTTCTGAAATGCATTCCCAGTTATCTCATTTGCATCAACATTCCATAAATATTTATTGATCACAGACTGAGTGCTAGGCAGTTAGCAGGGCAGCTGTTATTATCCCCATTTGATATAACAAATACAGATGTTAAGTGAGGTGTTCAGGATTACACAACTACCGAGTGGGGAAGCTGGGAGCTGAACCTGGGCTCCTTGCTGAGAGGCAGTGTGGTGCCCTGCTGCACTGGCTTGAATATCTGCTCTGCTGTGTACTAGCTGTTTAACCTTGAGCAATTACCTAACCTCTCTATGCTGTGGTTTGCTGTGCAATTAAGAGTGTTCATAGAGCACTTACAACAGTGCCCGGGAAGCAGTAAGCATTAGGTGAGTGTTTACTATTATTATTTGGTGCTTGACCCAGTATTCTCTTCTACATTATGCTGCCTCTATCTCCACATAGGTGAATAGACTGTTTCCTCCTTTCCAGTGGAATTTTTCTGTATTTCATAACTGTTAACTTCATTTGGCAAAACCCACTATACATTTGTCCTTTGGCCTGTATTCCTAAAATGGTGTTTTTGGAATATCATACCTTTTAAAAAACACTCCCAGATTTACACTGTCATTTTCTAGAACACTAAAAATTGAGGCTGATCCATGTATGAAGAGATTATTAGTGGGAAACTCTTTGAAGAAAGGTATAGTTAAGTCTTTGTAAAATATAATCGCAAGACATCATTTTAAGAACAACTTGGAAGAATTTACTTTTTCCTATGTGTATGTGAGTACTATTGTAATCTGCAGCTTCTGAAAGTTTTCCAGCAATTTCTGTAATCACTCTGAAATTATCTAGTAAATAATTCAACATGTCTAACAATCGGATAAATACCAGATATGCTTTATTAAGGTTCCTCAGTTACTACAGAAAATTTTTAAAAAATCAATTGTTTTTGTTGAAATGGTCCTGGAAGAAAACACTTTTATTTACTCCAAAATCTTATACATTGATTACCTGACTATTTGCTAATGATACCCGTTTTTATAGTTTAAATTACCTTACTCAAAGTACAGTAGAGGGGTAACCTAATCCAAGAGAGAAAACTGAAAGCAAAAAAAGTGAAAGACCTAGTTTTTCTTCTTTCTATAATAGGATAATCTATATGTTATTAAGCATTGTTTGGTTTGTATGTTGAATCAAAGGCAAATTAATGATGGCACTTTATTGTGAATTTTCATCTTACAGAGTTTAAACATCTTCCAGAACCTAAATAAACGCCAGTTTGAAACAGTTATTCATTTGTTTGAAGTTGCAATAATAGCAACTGACCTGGCTTTATATTTCAAGTAAGTACAGAACTCCCTTGTACTCTGTGTGGTTCTGCCTTCCGTAAATGGTCTGTTGCCTTAAAGTTAAAAGGTATTTATTTACACACACACTTCTTTTCTTTTTGTATTATCAATAGAATACCCTTAAGATGCCTGATAATGAATTTACTAGACATCTGGAAACATATTTTAAAAACCTAAGCCCCTAATATTAGTTTATCTGAAGAAATTTGAATTAAAGAATATGCAGCAAGGTAGGTGCACTGCCAGAAGAGCGACGCTACAAAACCTTACGAGGTGACTTTTGTCCTGGTGAATTAATTCATCGTAGTCCACAATCTGGTATTTAGAGTTGCAGGCTCAGACATTTGATCCTGCCAGAGTCCGAGAGATGAAAAATCTTGGTGATACTGATGCACATTAACAAACTCAAAAAATATTGACTTCTATACAGCAGAGTGCTACCCTATTTATAATAATAATGATTACCAAGGAGGCCAGATACTCCAGGCTTCCGCACAATTTCTTGTCGGTGAATTATAAAGTTTAAAATGTATTAGGACAAGGTGAACTAGTTATAGGATCTAAGTATTTAACAACTTGGATGGGCAGTATTAAATTGTGCTTCTCTGATCCTTCATTAAAAATTCATGTTAAATAGTTCAAACATGAAGACAGATTATTTAGAAATACATAACTGATATCCAAATAGCTATAGCTCAGATTCAACAAATGCTAAGATTTTGTCTTACATCTTTTTTTTTTTTAAGGGGAAAAAGTGATGCAATTGAGGCATCCCATGCCCACTCTATAATGAAAACCCTCTCCCCTTCTCCTTCGCAGATACCACCATCCTGATATTGCTGTGTATTCATCCTTCCCATTCATGTTTTTATATGGCATTAAGTGTGTTTAAAATTTTTCCATAAATGGTATCATACCGTGTATACCTTTCTGCAGCTTGTTTTCACACAATGTTTTGAAGATTTAGCTTGGTGGTAAATGGAAATCCAGTTCATTCTTTTTAAATGTATATTCACCTGTGTGAATATACCATAATTTAGCCATTCTTCTATTCATGGACATTTAGATTATTTCCACTTTTTCATCACTGCCTACATTGTATATCCTTGTATATATATGAGAGTTTCTGTAAAGTACATATCTAGAAATGGGATTGTTGTAGCGCTTGCATATTTTAAATTTTATACCACATTGCAAATCTGCTGCACTCCTGAGTAGGTATGCCAATTTAGACTCCCACCAGCAGCACACAAGAGTCCCTGTTATCCCATATTTGGACTCTTCTTGATCTGGGCTTATTTAAATCTATTTATTATGTTAATCTGAGTGTGAGATGGTATCTTACCGTTCACACTTGTATTTTCATATCTTTTCATATATTTTGGCTTCTAATTTTTTGTTGGTTTTATGCATTACAGTGTTTCATCACAGCCTGTGGCCTTTATGTTATTTTTTTTTTGTCACATGTAACTCTTAGTTTTAATGTATTCAAACTTAACAGTTTTTTTCCCCTTTCTGGCTGGTGCTTTTTCTGTCTTAAACCCTTTCTATGCCAAAGTTACACAGCCATTCCCTGTTCTGCTCCCCTAGCCCCTTTGATCCACTACATGAACATTTGATGAAAACTGGGAACATAAAACCTGAAAAGCATGCATTAAAGACACTTTTTATCTCTGGTCTTATATGCTAAAATTGTTGCACAGCTGTATCTTTTTTAGGAAGAGAACCATGTTTCAAAAAATTGTTGATGCCTGTGAAAAAATGGAAACTGAAGAAGAGGCCATCAAATACGTAACCATTGATCCAACCAAAAAAGAGATTATCATGTGAGTAGTCAGAATTTTATTTCTCTTTTGGCAAAAATAACTTGTTTTATATTTCTATTTTAACACTTTTTGTTTTCTTTTAAAGGGCAATGATGATGACTGCGTGTGACCTGTCAGCTATAACCAAGCCCTGGGAGGTACAAAGTCAGGCGAGTAGTTCCCCTTTTCTATCGCATACTCAGGCTCTGTTCTAGGTCCCATGTGAAAGAGAACATGAAGGTATCAGGCAACCTCAGAATTTAATGATAGCTATCAGTTATATGACTATATATTTTGTAAGCAATTATCTTCATCACCCTGGTCTTGTCCTCTGAAACAATAGGTTTATAACTTACGAAGAAGAAAAAAGGAATTTAAGAAGTTAAGACAAAAGTACAATGTTCCCTGTTGGGTTTCTGTTAGTGAAGAAAAGCAAACAGCTTTCAAGAGCTCACAAATGTCAGTGGGACAATAGGTCATTTGGTCAGGCCCAGAACAAGGCAAATGGAGGGAACCTTAGAAAGAAAAGAATTCCTTTATCACTGGACTGGCTGTAAGAAGTTTATATACAATTATTCAGGGAGTGTCTGCATTTTTAACAGAGGAGATAAAGGACGAGACAAGGATGAATCATTAGTGCCTTCATCTGTCAAGGGTGGCTTTGCACTTACAGTCTCCTCTTCAGTGTGCTGTCAGTTACCAGATGGCACTATCTGTGAGGTCATATTTAAGGGCGTCTTCCAAGGAAGTTCTTCCCCAACCTTGGGGAGTGAGAGTGGGAGCCATTCATTTACCACTTGGTTTCTTACTAATCAATGAAAGAAGCTTCTCTTTCTCCCTCAGTTAATTCACAGGGAAAACCCTAAGCAGAAGAGGCCAGGATTCACTGGGTTCAACTATAAATGTGGATTTTATTTGTAAAGACAGAATAATCGGAGCCATCAACCCCCAAGCCAAACACTTGTGCTCCTTCTGCACTGACTGCCTGCTCTTCCTTCTCTATTCTTTGTTGACATCATCACCCACGCCAGAACCTGGGGTCTTGCTTGAGTCCATCTCCCTCATTTCAAAACCATTCCTGTCCATCACTCTTGCTACCACCTTAGTTAATACTTTCCCTCTTTCGTCAGAACTATGGTGGCAGCCTCCTAAGTGATCCTCTCTTACCATGAACTCTCCAACCTTCCTCTGAGCTGCTGCTGGGACTGCTTATAAATAGACCTCTGCTTGGCCACAGCATTGCTTAGAAGCCTTCTGAACTCCCCAGTGCTGGAGGTTTTCAACCTTTTTTAAAGAAAGAAGCAAAGTCTATTTTTCTCACACAAAAAGTTGTACAAAGATCACTTTATAAAAGAGAAAAAAGTAAAGTTACTTTAGCTTAAATTTCTCTTGGCATCCATTTTTGTGCCACTCATGCACTTTGGAGGGACCCTATGGCTCAAGAATAAGAACTATTGGCCCAGAGAATCAGGTTAAACTTCCCAGCAGAGCTTACATGGCCTGTCATTACCTGTCCTTAACTCCTACTCCCCAGTTTCTTTCTTTTCACTCTTTCCCATGTCACCGCCTTACACTCTAAGCTCCTACTCACACAAGAGCTGGATGTTGGGGACTTCCCTGGTGGCACAGTGGTTGACAATCCACCTGCCAATGCAGGGGACATGGGTTCGAGCCCTGGTCAGGGAAGATCCCACATGCCGCGGGGCAACAAAGCCCGTGCGCCACAGCTACTGAGCCTGTAAGCCAAAACCACTGAAGCCCACGCGCCTAGAGCCTGTGCTGTGCAACAGGAGAGGCCTCCGCAATGAGAAGCCCGCGCGCCACAACGAGGAGTAGCCCCCACTCGCCGCAACTAGAGAAAGCCTGCGCGCAGCAACGAAGACCCAATGCAGCCAAAAATAACTTAAAAAAAAAAAAAAAGCTGGATGTTGAATTTTATCTGTACATAGTCTTCCCCCTCTTCTTTATCAGCAAACTACTAGTAATCCTTGATGATACAGCATAAATGCAACCTCCCTTATCTTTCTCCCTTCTCCTTGATCCACAGCAGTTCATACTGTTACTATTATAGCACTTACCACATCGTTTACATGACTGTCTTCATTAGACTGTGAGCATCTTAAAGATAAAGGTCACATGTTACTCCTCTTTGTAAGCCTGGCTCATGCCAATGTAAGGCAGCTAGCAGGTGTTCAATAAACCTGGTTTTTAAAAAACTATAAATGAACGCTCAAATATCCTCACACCATAATCAGGTGAAGTTGTGTTCTAAACTGTGCACGTATGTGCACAAACACACACGCAGATACATGCTAGATGCTAAGAGATAAGCAGGACAAGAGGAGGATCTGGGAAGCTTTAGAGCATGAGGCAGAATGTAATGGAATTACAATCTCCCATCTCCCCTTTTTATTGTTGAGAGGTGGTGGCAATAGCAAATAGGAGACAGGCACTCCTGGAATAAGTCTACTGCAGTGAAGTAGAAAGAGAAATACCCTTTTCCCATTTAAATATCATCTGTAAATCACATCCTTTTAAAACCAAAGAGCTCATGGTATGACAACACCTCAAGCATTAATTATAAATTGTATCCTTAAATGTCACAATAAAATGCAAACAAGTCACTTTCATGAATCATGTCCTTCTTTTCAGGTAGCACTTCTGGTTGCAAATGAATTTTGGGAACAAGGAGATCTGGAGAGAACAGTGCTGCAGCAACAACCAATTGTAAAGACCTTGACATAAAAATGCACTACTTATTTAAAATTATCAGTACATATCAGTCTTTTTCACTGAATCTCAGAAAAAGATCTTTAAAGAATTTATTTCTCTTTCTAGCCTATGATGGACAGAAACAAAAAGGATGAACTACCTAAACTTCAAGTTGGATTTATTGACTTTGTTTGTACTTTTGTATATAAGGTAAGTAAACAAATTGATTATCGGAGTGAAACATATCATCTTCTGGATGAGAATTTTTCTTTCAAACTGTAACCAAAATCAAAGTCATCCTCAAGGAAAGTCATTAGGGGTGTCCTTGTTTCTCCAAGGTAGTTTGAGGTATTACCTTAACCTCTCATTCAGGGGTGGAATGAAAGGTGAGAACTCAGATGTAAGCAAATGGAACAGACTTAGGCAGGAAGGAAAACAGCTACCTTTCCCACTTCTGAGGCACTGAGTTAATCTCATCCTAGCAGCTCTGAGCGCTGTAATAATTCCTTAGGGCTCCTTCTCTGCACATGAAAAGTACTAAAAATGAACTGTATGATCTAAGTTTCTGACCTAAAATTCTATCTAGGAGTTCTCACGGTTTCACAAAGAAATCATACCTATGCTGAATGGTCTTCAGAATAACAGAGTGGAATGGAAATCCCTAGCTGATGAGTATGATGCAAAGATGAAGGTAACTGAAGAGAAGAAAAAGCAGGAAGAAGGAAATATGACTGAAAAAGGTAAGATGGAATCTGTTTTGACTTCTTGTAAAGTAGCTGAAAGTCAAGCGGAGCTTAATCTCACGACAAGAGCATAAAAAGTAAATGCAAACAGGAAATTTGCTTTACTGCACACAGACTGGTAATTACAAGAAGTTGATTAGTGGTTTTCAGGGGTTTTTTATCCCCCTCAAACAAGATCTTACTTTGTAATTCCAGATGGAATTGATTGGTCCAGTTGAAGTAGGGGTTAGGGTTAGGTTTCTTCATCCACTCTAGAATATGGCTCTTGAGGTACCTCTGCAGAATACTGAGTTTTTAGAAATAATATGAAAACCATACAATCAGTGGGATCAATCAGGATTAGGTGAGAAAATAATTTTAGTCCTAACATTACGAATTAGCTGTGAGACTTTGGGCATCTTGCTTAACCTGTCTGAGCTTAATGTTCCTCTCCAGATAATGAGAAGGTTTTACAGATCTCCACCCTCACTTCCAGACCTAAGGAAGCCCGAGATGTAAAGCTGGTCAGCTGATTGGGGTGACTTGACCGGTACCCCGAGACTTTGCCTGTGCCTCAGATGTCTCTACTTAGTGCTGTTTATCCTGATGAAATTTCTACTCCTAAAGTCACTCAGTTAGGTTGAAGATAATCTTCAGAAAGCCTCTGTTAAGATGCTTAGGATCACCTGTTAGTTCATCAGATGCCTCAAACGTCATCTGGAAAGTGGAATACTAATATCATGATTTTATATTTTGTCTCAAGAGCTCAACACTCAAAAGGTTTTGTAAGAAATTCTTTTTGTTTAACAAAGAAATCATCTCTATCTGGAAAGGCCTTGTAAAAAAAAGATGCAACATTCTTTTTAGATGGTTCTTATATTTAGTGGTATTTTAAAGAATTCATAGAGGGAGAAAGCATTTTGCTTAAAGGGTTAAGGATATCCTTCAACAGAATAAAAACAGGAGTTACTGACTCTGGGATATACATCCGTTTACATTGGGTGTGTAGTCTGTACCACCTGGTGGGGGAGCTAGACAAACTATCAAATGAACAACTGATTATCTAACTATAACTATCAGAGGAAGCGTGAGGTATGTACCTGAGGCATCCGGGAAGACTTTCCTAAAGGATGCTTATGCTAACTGGGAAGACTTTCCTAAAGGATGCTTATTAAAAACGTACGACTACGTAATCTTTGCCTAAGCAGAAAAAGGAGGAGTTGGAGAGGAAAGAACAGAATGTGCACAAAGGCCTTGAAGTGGAAATAAGCTTGGTGCAATTAAAGAACTTAAAAACTGGTGTAGCTGGAGTCTAGAGAGCTACAAAGGCGGGCAAAGTGCCAGATGAAGCTGGGAATACAGGCAGCTCTGTCAGACAGTGTGTTGCCTTGAAGGCCTTGCTAAGGATTTGTCCTCTAGAGAGCACTGGGAAATCCTTAAAGGGATTTAAACAGGAAAGAGATAACATCTGATTTGCACTTCAAAAAGGTAACAAAAATGGTCATTTTTACTGGGCAAGTGAAAAGAAAAGGTATTTCTTAGTACAATTCATCTTTACCTCAATTTTATGATGAACAGGTTATCAAGCCCTTTAAGTGGCTCCTAACTTTTTTTTTTTAGTTTTTAGTATATTGGATATGGATCTTCTATCCTTATTTACATAAAAAATTACTTCCAAATTTTTTTCCTACTACACTGAGAAGTCTCTGTAAACTAATATTATTTTATCTCCAGGCAACAAGCTTTGTGCTTGGCACAAAGCAACAACTCAGATTCCCGGATTGCATAGTTCAGTGGTTCTTCTGTGAAACTGAGACGTTAATTGGCTAATCATTTATTAGATTTTATTTTCTAAATGGACTAATTCTGAATATGAATTCAAGTTTTTAAATGGTCAAACCCTTAGTACTTGCTGTAGGTTAAAACTATGAAGTAGGCTATAAAGTTACACTAATATTAGGAAAAAACACTGTATATCCACTGACTCCCAATAATACTGCTTTTCTCCTTTTTACTAGCTGCAGAAGATTCAGGAGGTGGTGGTGATGACAAAAAGTCCAAAACATGTCTAATGCTGTAATACAGTCCAACTGGTCTAAATTTCAAATATTGTTTCTACATTTGAAGACAACAAGAAAACATTCAAAAGAACATCAGCAAATTTCATTCATCAAACCGTCAAGTAACACAGTAAGAGAATCTTCAGAAAAGCTACCCTGTGACTAGCATGAGAAAATATACTGCTAGCCTAAAAGCCCTGAGGGTAAAATAAAGTTCAACAGAAGTGCAAAATAAGACAAAAATAAGTGCATTATTGGTGCCAATTTGTTTTAAATTAAAAATAATATAATCCTGAAATTAGTCACCAATTTTTTTTTTTTAAAGGTTCTTATTAACTGTATTCATTTACTAGGGCTACTTACAGCAAAATGCCCCAGACTGGGTGGCTTAAACAACAGAAATTTATTTTCTCACAATTCTGGAGACTAGAAGTCCAAGATTAAGGTGCTGGCAGAGTTGGTTTCTTGTGATGCCTCTCTCCTTGGCTTGTCAATGGCCATCTTCTTTCTCCCTGTGTCTTCAACTGGTCTTCAGTCTTCCCTCTTGTGGGTCTGTGTCCTCATTCTTCTTATAAGGACACCACTCATATAGGATTAGGACCCACTCATATGACCTCATTTTACCTTAACTACCTCTTTAAATGTGCTATCTACAAATACAGCTGCATTCTAAGGTACCGTGGTCAGGATTTCAACATAGGAATTTCAGATGGGACACAATTCAACCCATAACATTAATAATAATGATTCACACCTCACATCCCTTCCTGAATCAAAAGTCTCTCGTCAACATGTCTTAATATAAGAGTAAATAGAGTATAGAATGTGTAACGTATGTAAGTACTATATAAGAAACAAAGAAAAAGGATGTTAAATGTTATTCCATCTGAAATGCTTCTTTCCTCCACTTTTTACCCTTGATAATAGTGAAGACCACACCACTTGTAGCAGCTTAAAAGTACATCGTCATCCTACACCCATCCTTTCCCCCAAGTCTGAAATCAATTATTTTATGTGTAACTAAGAATACATTCTTACATTCAGAACTATTCTTCTCACTGAAAGAATTATCAATTTATAAGACATTACCTGGATAATCCTAATGCAAGTTAAATCAGCTAATAAATATTACTCATTATTAAGAAGCATGTGATTTGATTATGCAAAAACTTTACTATCAAAAACAGTTCAGGAGGACTTTTAACACAGATTACTTTTAAAAATGATTACTAGGGGGCTTCCCTGGTGGCGCAGTGGTTGAGAGTCTGCCTGCTGATGCAGGGGACACGGGTTCATGCCCTGGTCTGGGAAGATCCCACATGCCGCGGAGCGGCTGGGCCCATGAGCCATGGCCGCTGAGCCTGTGCTCCGCAACGGGAGAGGCAAAAACAGTGAGAGCCCCCCGACCGGAAAAAAAAAAAAAAAAAAAGATTACTAGGACTGTCTACCAGGAATTCTAAATATTGACTTGTCAAGAGAAACTACTTCCACTACATGGTACACATCTGTACATCAGAGAAGATTTCTTTCTTATCTGTAATGACCAAATTATAAAACAGACCAAATATTATACCACAGATTTCCTTGTAAAACATATCTAAATTATAATGGTCTCTGAACCTCAAATGTTTTGTTATAGAGAAGATAGTGTTCAGTTTTAAGCAGTTGAGAAATAAATCACCATTTGTTATATTTTTACAAGTCAGTCAGTTACTTTAGAATTATAAGATTCTTCCTCTCACATTAGAATATAAGGTTCACGAGAGGAAAGATTTTTTGCCTCTTTTTGTCTGCTTTGTTCACATTGCTATGCTCACACTTAGAGTAGTGCCTGGCACAAGGTAGGCACTCAGTAAACATGAATGAATAATATTTTGAATAAATACTGTAACAAACAGATATAAATGAAGAGTGCCTGGAAGTTAATATTTTTAGGGAGAAAAAAACGCAATATATACACCCAAATGATCATTGTCTATATGTTATCACCTTTGGTGATATATATACATCTTATTTTCATTGCTTAAAATAATTTTGAAACCACACTTCTAGGATTATTTTAGAAACTGTATAAGAAACCCTCTTCCTTTAAGCCTTATATAATTTTAGACCCCAAAATACCAGTCATCTCAAACAACTTCCTCTGCTCATTCACTAGAAAACGAACTGAGGGGCAGAGATGAGGAGGTCTGCAAAAATAGGAACTTTGCTTAAGAGCAAGTGTAAGAAAGCATAACTTTATATCCCAAACCTATGGTCCGCTGAACACCACTGACTACACTACAGCCAAGATTAAGATAGGTCTGCTGGAGAATTAATGTTTAAACTCTAGATAATAGATAATCAACAAGGGCCTACTATATAGTACAGGGAAATCTACTCAATATTGTGTAATAACCTATGTGGGGAAAGAATCTGAAGAAGAATGGATATATGTATATGTATAACTGAATCACTCAGCTGTACACCTGAAACTAACACTGTGCTGTAAGTCAACTATACTCTAATATAAAATAAAAATTAAATTAAAAGAAATCTTTAAACGCATCATCTTGAGGCCTTTTCAAAGACTCCTTTAAAATATGACTCCCATTATCTGCCATTGTGTATGAATGGATTAAACACTGATTACATATAATAATCTAAATTTATAAATGAACTTAATGTCCATAAACCATACTTGCAATACCAAATATATGGATCTATTTTAAAAGGGTCTTTAAATATTCTTCCTAGTCACTGTTTAGTTTTGCAGGAATTTTATTTTCTGATGACCAATAAACTTTTTATCATAAAATGTTTTAGCTTCATATATTCTATTACTAATATCAGTTTTGCTGCTGGACATTTCAATACTTTCCTCAGAAATCAAGGTTCTTTTTCACTAAAAGTTGAGCTGAAAACGACAAAACAAAATTGTTCACTTATCTGTTGGTTAATAAACCAACACTGATTTACTATTTTCTGATGGTTTAGAAATGACTGCATAATTATTTCCTAGATACTTTTGTAGCACAGTGTCTCACACATAACAGAAGCATGATATTTAATGAATAACAACTGTTTAATAAAAAGATAAAATCTGATACTATTTAAAAATAAGATACTATAATTGCCTATTTTACAGTTTAATGCCGATCATTCCACGTTTAAATGTCATTTAAAATAGCATATCTTCAACAAAATAATTGGAATGGTACAATCATTTTTTACAGGTCCTCTCTTACTCACCAAATCATGCATCTTCTCCTCTATTCATCTCTTGGCTGTTTATAAAAATGGGTCTGACCTTTTGAAAAAAAATCAATATATCTTTTTGAAAATCTGATGAAAACTATGGACCCTTTCCCCAAAACACACACATAATTACAGAAGTTTACACATAGATTCTAGGAGTGTTTAGATTTCCTGAAGCACATCCATTGACTCTTGTGGGTATGAACCCCAAATTAAGAAGTTACATTTTGGACTTCCCTGGTGGCACAGTGGTTAAGAATCCCCCTGCCAATGCAGGGGACATGGGTTCAATCCCTGCTCCAGGAAGATTGCACGTGCCACGGAGCAACTAAGCCCATGCTCCACAACTACTGAGCCTGCTCTCTAGAGCCTGCGAGCCACAACTACTGAGACCAAGTGCCACAACTACTAAAGCCTGTGCACCTAGAGCCCGTGCTCCACAACGAGAAGTCACCGCAGTGAGAAGCCCGCGCGCCACAACGAAGAGTAGCCCCTGCTCACCGCAACTAGAGAAAGCCCACGTGCAGCAACAAAGACCCAATGCAGCCAAAAATAAATTTATAAAAAAAAGTTACATTTTACAATATATCTCTGCATATAAATACATCCATATCTGTATGACTGTATCTGAGACAAGCTCTATGCACACAGTATTGTTCAGTTAAATTATGTTACTGTATAATCTCTGCTAAGAGTCAAGTTTCATGAACACATCTGCTGTTTTAGACTACTGGAATCTCATTTGGCCCCCTGTGGTATTAATTTAGTTTATAAAAATTACCCATACACTGGGGAATCAAATTTGATTATAACAAACTCCATTAAGTGGTAGAGGTGAGATGGAAGCAAGAGAAATGTAAGGAAAAAAAGAAAAGGCAGCTAATGACAAAATAGGTACTCAAGAGGGGGGTATTCGAAGACATAATCTACTTTGTAATTTCGTGAAACCCCAATAATCCTAAAAGTTTAAGCTGAGGCAAGGGAACATAAATGTGAATCAGTGGGGGAAAAAAAAACCCTACAAAAATATAGGCACAATGGATCTCTGTACTAGAGGATGTACTAGGTCCATACTTTAGGAGCTACAGATGGAACAGAGTTGTAGATAAACAATTGAAAAGATATACAGGGAAAAGTGCCTCCAATAAAACTGAAAAACTTCCAAAGCATCTGACATCCTGAGAGTAGCTGGATTTTTATTTCCAAAGACAAACCACTCAAGTTGCAACTTGTAGACAAAATTTTGTGAAGAGTTTCAAAGTATACTTTCACATTAAGGAATGTACGCATCCCTCTTCCATCTCACAGAAATAAACCTTGAAAATATTCATCAAATTCTTCTTCCCTATTTAAAAGAAAAAGTATACAATTTGATTAAAATCAACAATTAGAGAAGAAAATTACTAGGTGACACATTATATGAGATTAATAAAAATATTTTAATCCAATATATTTGCTGATTCTTTTGTATAGCAATATATTTCATGATTCAGGTATCAAATAATTCTTGGCTTCTAAAATAATCATAACTATACCAAGACTGATTAAATTGAAAATGCTGTATATGTTGGCACGTCTCCCTAAATGTACTTATTACCTAAGATTTTACTTTGAAGTACTTTGTGAAATGTCATTGCTTCTTTTTACTTTTTGGTTAACTTTATAACTTACTCTGTTCATTCTCATTTCAAATTATAGCCTGATCAAAAAATGAATGAAAAAAACTATTTTAAGGAAAAATACAAGTCTTACTCCTAGGAATAGGGAAAATCTGCTTAGGCTGCAGATTTTATTACTCTGAGAAGAGTAAATATGTATCTGTAGCAGTGAAGATTATGTCTAAAACAAAGAACAGAACTCTGAAAGGAGATATTAAACTATAATGTGTTAAAATATTATGAAAACTGTAAAGTACTAAATAAACATTAGTGCTAGGAGCCACAGTAGTACAATGGAAATAGCACAGGTTTTCAAGTGAGACAGTGTTTTTTAAGTCCTAGCTCTGTCAGTTATTTGCTGAGCAAGCAAGTTATTTAACTTCTCTGGGCTCAGTTTCCTTATCTGTAAAATAAAGAACATCACATTTCCTCATAGAGCTGTTCTAAAGATTAAATGTATGTACAATTGCTTTTCTCCCTTCTGGGAACAGAGAATCAAGCTGGACAAATTCTGTGTACCAGTCTCTTCAGAAAATGTTCTTTTAGATCAGAGATTCACAATAGGACTCCATCATTTGGCTTTAAATAATTGTGAATGCACAGAGCCACCACAGCCATGTTCAAATTTTTAAAAAATTAATTCCAGAATCAGATAAAGTTGATTTAAAATTACCTACAATTTGGTATTCTCCTGGCTACTGTCCCTTTTCCCAAGCATGACAGCAAAATGCAGTAGAATTTTTAAAATTGTAGTAAGAACTTAAATATATGAAATTAGCTGAATTTCTGTGTGAACTTAGATGTCAGTACCTGATGTCAAGTTTTTATAAGGTCACAAAGAGCTTTGGATTATGAAACCCCTCTTAGGCTTTATTCATGTATCTTTACTGCCAAAAAGGTGAGTTGACTCCAAGACCTATTCTGTCATTTTCAGCTCTTCAAGGGAAAGTTATATGGTCAAAAGTTCAGTTGATAGTTTTACTAGGATAGTGATACCTTTTTTATAATCTGATCTATAATGACGACTCATTTGGGAATTCTTTACTTGGCTGACAAAAATAAAGGTTAAGGTCATAGAAAAAAACTAATCTTTTAAAAAAAAAAAAAACTTTCCAACACACCTGAATTCTATTACACTGAGACCATATTATATAATTAGCAATATGTTTTATAATCAGCTTAAATTAGTGAATTATGATTGATTCAACAGGTCTCTTATTATGAACCAATATGCCTAGAGTAACAAAATGGGACTAAAATTTATTGAGCACTTACTATATTGGTAGGTATTGTGCCAGACCAGGTGCTTTACATTCTTTATTCTATTAAATCTTCACAATAAACTCTATGTAGTAGGTATTATTTTATCCCCTTTCAACAGATAAAGCTCAAGTGGTGAACATCCCAGTATATGAGAAGAACTGATAATATTCCAGCCTATATGCAGATAGCTCTTCCAACCAATAGCAGAGAACAATGCATGTGTTGACTTGTGTATCTCTGGGGTGTAAGGTGGCTGTTGGCAAGAAAACGTTTACACCTGTGTATATCTTCAAGGGGCTCCCCTGTATAGGTTTATAATAATCAGAATAGCATGGATAGGCTGCTCTGGAAGCTAGTAAACAGTATCTCTCTGAAACAATAAAAGCAAAGACTAGGGGGTCATCTGTCAATGTGAACTGAGGAAAGATTTACTCACCAAGAGAGAGCTGGACAAGTTGGCTGTTTATGGCCATAAACAATGGCTGGGAATAAACTCTGACCTTAGCAGGCTAGGTGTTCCTTGGCTTTAAAAAGACATTCATGATGCTAAGTTTTTCATTAACTGTTATCAAAAATGGCTGTAGTCAGAGCTTCCTAGACTGATGTAGAAGGTATGCATTATCATTGTCTATTAATACTATTATCAGGACTTACTGTGATTTTTCATCTGTCTCTGGCAGTGGGCCCTTCCAAAGTTCAGATTCTGAAGTACTTCCTTCCTCATCAGAGCTTCCTGTTCATTTAAAAGAGATTTTTTAAAATGTGCACATTACATTTAAAACACATTTTGAACTACCCACCAATGCAATTAAATAAATTCCAGATTTACCTGTGGTTTAGCTTCAACTTTTATGGCTCTCTGAAAATTTAATGCACTTTTCCAGACCAATAAATTCTTTTGAAAAATAATAAGCTGATATATACCAAAGAGCCTCAGCAAATAGACCAAAGATTTAAAGTCTCATGGGAAACTTCTATAAATTATACTGAGTTAAAGTAACAATTCCAATATTAACTCTATATTATAAAGGAATTATCTCTTGCAATACAGTTGTCTTTAATTTAGTTTCTTATTTTTATTGATCATACAAAAGACATGCAGGGTAAGATTTCTGTAGAGTATTTACATTAGGATCAAGACCTTAAGAACTGAACTAGTATATAGGACTAGCTAGTTAAATTATGAAAAAAAATTTGTCAGACTTAAAAAAAATTAATGCTGATTACATTAACTAGAAGAAGAAATGGATGTTCTCATACATTGTTAGGAGTAAATACCATTTTCTTGAGGAAAATCTGGCAATATAGATCACTTTAAAATATAGATACCCTTTGACCAGCAATGCTTTTAGGAATTTAATTATTTACTTAGAATAAACGAGCACTCAGATATATGTACAAAGATGTCCACTGTATAACAACAACAGCAAAAGAAAACAAGTTAAATCCCCACCAATTAGGGATTAAGGCTTGGTTAAATAAATACTATACAGCTATTAAAAAAAACTCCATAGCACACCTGAATTACCATAGAAAAATGTGTATGCTATATCAAAATTTTAAAAAGTTACAGAAAGCAGGCATAGTATAATACAATTTGTATTAAAACAGATCTACATATAGATATATATATTATTATTTATATATGCGTGTTTGTGTATATAAATACACACACACACACACACACACATATATAAATAAGTTTGTAAGGACCAACCAAACTTAACAGTGATTATATTACCTGTGGGCCTGGGATAGTTTTACTCTTTAAGCATTTCCAAATTTTTTTTGTATTTTAAACAATAATCATGTATTACCTTTAAACATCAGTAAAAACAATAAATTTTATTTTTAGAACATAAAATAGACATGTTTCAAATGAATCACCCTATATTAGTCAACTAAAAATTATCAAATACTGAAACATGTATTATGAGACAATAAAATTATATGCCACAAAGTAATTATGTTAGCAAATAATTCCTCTCCAATAATGACCATTAATCTGGAAAAGAAGTGACACAAATTTGGCCTGTCAATACAGAATGCACCTTAGTTAAACACAACACAAAAATAAAACAGTACTGATTTGCCTTGATGGTTCTAGCCTTTTTTTCCTGTTGGACTTTGATCCTTGAATCAACATGTATGTCTGAACTTTGGTCCTAACTGAATCTATTCTAGCACAAATTCTAACAAAAACAGCAAAAAAATAAAAAAGGGAACGGGGGTTGTGCTTCTAATGATCTACACACAAAGATGATAAAATTATAAAGCTCTGGGAATAAGATTCCCACTCAATGACAGCCAGCACTGGAACTGCCAGTGTCCCAAACTGAATATGCGAAAAGAAAAAAGTACTCTGCTTGGGACTTCCCTGATGGCACAGTGGTTAAGAATCCACCTGCAATGCTGGGGACACGGGTTCAAGCCCTGGTCCGGGAAGATCCCAAATGCCGCAGAGTAACTAAGCCCGTGCACCACAACTACTGAGCCTGCGCTCCAGAGCCCGTGAGCCACAACTACTGAGCCCGCATGCTGCAACTACTGAAGCCTGTGCACCTAGAGCCCATGCTCTGCAACAAGAGAAGCCATCGCAATGAGAAGCCTGCACACAACAAAGAGTAGGCCCCTGCTTGCCACAACTAGAGAAAGCCCGTGCGCAGCAACAAAGACCAAAGACCGAATGCAGCCAAAAAACAAAAAACAAAAACAAAACAAACAAAAAAGTCTTCTGCTCTTATTTTTATGAAAATTCACTAACTGAGATAAAGAAAGCACAGAAAAACTAATTAGGCCTAGTAAAGTTATCACCATGGTGTTATCCTGTCAATGATGTCAGAGAACAAACCTACAAGGCCTTTGAAAGTGGGCAGCTAATTTCAAAAGGCCTTACAACCACCTGTTTTCTTGTTCCCTCTCAAGAGTACTGCCCACATGCCAGCTTTCCTACACCAGTTTTCTGATAACAGACGATCCAGTTTTACTAAAAAGTACAATTAGTTTAGAATAACATTATAAAATAACTGTCTTTGAAAGAGGACATGCTGAAAAAGTGATCAAATATCCCTAGAGAATCAAATCTACAAGACTGGATTATATGACCTTTAAGGTCCCTTACAACCCTATGAATCTATTAATATTTAACTACGAATCTATAATACCTAATTCCATGAGGTTGACAGTAACTACAAATCATTTTTTTGATAACTGCTACAACCTGCCAGAGGTGGAAAGGGTACTGCATTTAGAACAATGGGCAACACAAAATGATGCTTGCATTTGTATCAGTGTCAAATCTACACAGTAATTATTGACAAGCGGGGATCAGAATTTAAGTCACTGACTCTGTACTGGAAGGGGAGCTTGGAGGTCCAGCCCTTATCCAATAAATGAACATCTTACTGTAATACTTCCAATAACAACTGGCTGTCCAATCTAAACACCTCACTACTTCCTGAAGCAGCCCATTCCTTTCTTCAGATAGTTCTAATTGACAAATTTTTCCTTAAATTAAGGCAAAAATCTGTCCTTGGGCTATCTTTATCCATAGACTCTGGTTATGCCAACCAGCCACCAAAAATAAGTCTCCTACATAGTAGCAGTCTTGAAAATATCTACAGTTTCCATGTCTACCTCCTTACCCCTTCCCTCTTCACTTTTTCCTAAGCTAAACATCTACGGTTCCTTCAACCTTCCTCCTATAACAACATTTCAAGTTCTGACAACACTTTGGTTCTTCTATTCTTGACCTGCTTTAAGTTTTCAATGTTCCTTTTAGAATGTAATGCAAACTGCATGTAATTTTCCCTATATGCTTTGAATAATGCAAGTAGGTCCACCATCTTGGTTTTTCTGGATATTACATATCTAAATAACTTGGCCTACTGAAGAAGTGGCAAGTCTCCAATTATGAAAACAATGCACAGGTCAGACTTTTACAGACTTAATTTTTGATCTGACCCATTGTGAAGAACAAACACAAAATCTAATGTCCAGTATTTTCCTTTTCTCTGATATAATAGCTACAGGTTATCAAAGATTACTTCATATAAGACACATGCTTTACATGTTTATTTCACTTGACTCTGATAATAATCCAATGAAGTCAAGTCTCTTTATACCCATTTTACAGATAGAACTGAGACAGAGATCAAATCATTTAATGTGGATTTGTGTAATATATCTGCCCAAACTGAGGTATAAAGAGTAGACTAGGGGCTTCCCTGGTGGCGCAGTGGTTGAGAGTCCGCCTGCCGATGCAGGGGACATGGGTTCGTGCCCTGGACCGGGAGGATCCCACATGCCACGGAGCGGCTGGGCCCGTGAACCATGGCCGCTGAGCCTGCGCATCCGGAGCCTGTGCTCCATAACGGGAGAGGCCACAACAGTGAGAGGCCCGCGTATCACAAAAAAAAAAAAAAAAAAAAAAAAAAGAGTAGACTAACTTTTGATTCACTGATGAACAGTTATTGATGATATAAGTAAAAGAGCAGACTCTGGAGTTATACACCTGTGTTTAATCGTAGCTCTGCCATTAACCAACTATTTGACCTTAGGCAATTTATGTAAATTCTCTGGTCTTGGTTCTCTTATCTGCAAAATGGGATATTATATGCCCATTACTACGATTAAATGAGGTATACAACTAAACCACTTGCGATTATGGCTGACAATCAACAAAAGCAAGTTAAAATTCTTTTTCCCTATAGAAATTGGGTTTTTCTTTATGGATCTGGTGTAAATAATCCATATGTTAAATGAGGGTAAAAGGGTAACTGAATATTATCCAAATGGAAATGAAATATATAATAGAAACAGCAGAATTTGAGTTGTAAAATTGCCAAGACCACCTAAGACAGGTCACTGACCACCTGAGAAGATATCTGGGTTTGGCAAACTATAACAAGGTACATGTCCCCTGCTTGAAATGGTTCTACTTCAAGAACCAATCTAAGCTAGAGATTCTTCAGGTTGGCTACAGTATTCTCCTCTCCCTACCACCAGAAGTTTGACCTAGCTGAAGAGGGTGAAGAGACTTAAGATTATTTCCGGGAAATGAGGGAGGTTTGAGAGGGCTGGGGGAAGAACAGTGGGAGGGAGAAGGAAGGAAGAGCAAATGAAAGAATTAATATAAACAAGTCAGTCAAGCCCTTTCCCCAAAAGATTTTTTAAAAAAAATTGGAATTGGAGAAGGGCAATGGTTTTTTTTTGCATTAAATAGGCCTTCACACCTCTCACTGCAACATATAGTTGGAAATTGGCAAAAACTATAAAATTTCCCATTTTAAACTGTGTATGCTTTCTAAAACTATATATACTTACTACCCCATCCTCAGATAGCTTAAGTCTATTGTCTCATGCCTGGCTATGTTCTATAAACTGTCAGGAAACTTAACCTAATGTAGAAGAAGGAGCTACTGATAGATTAGGATTCACATGGGGAGAAAGGAAGTGTCAGTGCTTTAAGGACACTTCAAATATGTTGAAAACAAAATGGTATGAGTAAAGTAATTCATAAAGAATACGTTGTATTCCTAAAGTAGAGGAATACCTCCACTGATATCTCCCTCTTCATTAAATTTTTAAACAGTAAATATCTTTAAAATTCTATTTCTCTAAAATTTCTGATTACTAAACACTTAAAAATTCTCCTTAAGAATTATATACTAAAATGCTAATAAAGTTTAAATTGAATGGTGATTTGGAGCAATTACTAAATATTTTCCTGAG